ATTGACTGTATAGCCAATACATCCTTAATTTTCGTTATATCACTTATTTAATCGTAGGCAGTGTTAGATAATAAATTAATTGGAATTGTAGGTTGACCACATAATCATTATCATGCACGTAAAACACGTAGTGCGGTGGACATTATCATAATTAATAATGCAATATCAATCGAGTGAAATATTTATTTGTTCAATCGCTTTTATTATCCTGGTAAATGTTAATTATCGTAAACAAGCGGTCAGATATCGCTTGATAGGCGAGCTCTTTGTGAACAATGCACTTCATCAAACTACTTGCCATATAATTATTGATATTGACACGCAACATACGTGAAATTAATTGCCTGCTGAATTAGGGAACTGCTGTGATACTCTGTTATAATGAATGACTATAGAATACTTATACATTGCAATTTAAGATTTCCACAATATTTAACGAAGTAACAATTAAATGCGTTTAATAACTGATTGATGTACGTTGTTCTTTTGGGCAAGTGTGTATTCAGCAGTCGTAAAAATTAATGTTCTTCGTACATATAGTGTATATTTTAAGTTCATTAACTACTGAAACAATTTCTAACGAAGTGTGCGAGGATAGAATAATCTCTTTTTAGATACTTGTCATGTGTTACATGCAAAAATCATGAATGAATATCTGCTTAAAATGGTCGAATTGTTTCGACACTTTAACAGAAGTGGGAAACTGTAGTTTAAAATTGAAATGAAGATACGTAGGTAGTAATTTTAAACAGGAATGGTAAACTACTCGACGAGACTGCATGCATAAGCAGCATGAGACGCATCATACGGAATTATAAATAATTTATAGGTTTTTCTTCGGCTTGTTACTTTATTAGTAATGGAGTCGTTGCAAACTAATCATGTCACATCTGAAAATTGCCAATTCGTTCGCGATATCTTTGATACCATACTCTTTTTCTGATTACTCTCTTATTGTAATGCATTGGAAGCTATTATCGTGATAGCGTTTTAACCAGGAAGCAAGCGAGGAAAGTAAACGATGAAAGATATAAAAAGTTCCTGGCTCCCGGGTCCGGGACCGATGTAATTTCGGAGGAATTGGAACGCTCGACGATGATTTCCAAATCATTAAACGGAAATTATTCTCATTAAAGAAGAAACCACCGGGTAAAGATAAAAAAAAGATATCTCTGTTGGTACACGCGGTGCTGACAGTCGACGTACGCGTTTCGTGTAGTTAATACGAGTTGAATCAAGCCTCGTTTTGCATTAAACGAATCAGAGCTATGGATCGCCGCATCGGGCCAGTGGATATGTTGAACTTTTATCGAGACGTCAATGCTTTTTTTCTACCGCACGGATCGTTGGGTGAATGGGTGAACCCGGGACCTGCGCTCGCATCGGCAAATTCAATTTAGGCCGTGAATAGTAATAGAAACGATTATAGCTGTAATAGTAATGGGAAACTCGGCGCCAGTTATGCAGCGCAGCGTATCGGCGAGTTTGTACTCGCATAGATTGCGTTCGTTATCGAAAAGCGGCCGAGCATTTTACTTTTCCGGGAAAGTATGACACTGGAATGGTATATCGTATCAGTCTATCGAGAGCTTTCACAATTTTTGGCTTTCAACGTTCTATTCGCGAATTGTGGCCGCGATAAAAGGCGGACGAGGAGAGCCGGTGCCGATTTATAATACGGGGCGTTATTAAATTATTGGATTACAGCGAGCGGACGAAATTACGTATAATGACGCGTGCGAAAGAGTTTACGCAAAGTGTTACGCGTGCGTGCGGCGCGGCCCGATTCGATTGATGCACGGTAAGTTAACGGGAAGAGACAAATAGCCGAATCTGTTACGTGAAACGGTCCTCTTTGCTCGGCTCTCCTCTCAAGATCGCCTTTTAGATAACTATATACTTATATACGTATATATCTTTCCTTTTTCACGAAAGAACCGCAAAGAGCTGTTTATGGCGCCTTAAACTCCGTGCCCGTTTCCCGTTGCCGTTTTGGCAAGTCGACGTCGTTTTAACGCTGAAATCCCATATAAATTAACAGCTGCCATTAAACGCTCCGAACTGAGAGCTGCTATGTGAACTAGTTTAAAAGAAATAAAAAGCAGATTCGAAACTATGTAATTAAATTTTTCGCTTACTAATTCTATACGTAGTAGCTGGAACGCTTTTAAATTCGATGAAAAGAGAACGACAACTTGCCGATTTCGATTTAATTAACTGCGACCCCTTAAAGCCGTAATTTACCTGAGAAGCCGAAATTGAAAAAGTTTGATGAAAATACCAGTAAAAGCGAGCGGTTAACATTCGGAGTTAACATTTCGACGCGGTACTCGCCGGGATACATAAAGTCGATAAACAAATTTGAAACGAGCGTATGAAAACTGTAAGGAACGCCTCGTTCTCAGTGCATTTAGTCTCTCGGTTTATCCTTCCCTCCGAGAGATTAATTTTAAATAACTTCACCGCGAAGTCGACGTAAAACGTCGGAGTCCGGTGAATAATTTTAGGGAGCTCACTGATTGACGCGGACGAGGGAGACATGTCTGACGAGGGGCACCCACCGTGCAAAATCCGGCGAACAGGATGATCCACATGATCCTTCCGCGCGGTTCTGTTCTTCTTATCCTGGCTGCGTTTAATTGCGAGCGCGGAAACACGCGAGAACACACTTCCTGCGGAGTAGGCGAGGATACGGATATAGAGGGATGCAATTTTCACGAAGATTCCCGATGAACTGAGGCGCGTGTACCGCGGCCAAAGCGAGGATTCTCTCCCTCCGCGGGTAAACGTTCCTCCAACGGGTACCGTCTCCTGGAGGGGAGGAAAGGAAATCAGGGAACCAGAGAACCACCGGCCCATCCAGAGTACTGTTAATGCATGCTCGCTGCCTCCACTAACAACCATCTTTACCGCGTCCTCCTCGCGAACAGTGACGGCCTCGAGCGGACTCCGCATCTTCTTCCTCGGTCCTCCTGTAGGATACCTTTATACATATCATCCTTATTGTGCAACTCTTGGGTTACCGATGCTGGTTGCAATCGTCAAACTCCGTTATTTATTTTTCTCCACACGTAATAACGATGGAAAATCGGCACTTCATTTCGCAAACGAATTTCGATAGAATTCAAATATTAAAAGATTATATTTTTTAATAAAGGGGTAAAAGGAATCAACCTAATTACTAAGGCTTGTACTCGCATTTTTTTATTGTTCCTGTCAGAAATATTAAGGAAAAATGATTTTTGCATCTATAAAATTGTTGTCACGAATCAAAATGCTGATTTCGATTTCTCTTACTAGATCGACTATTGCATTCCAGTCTAGGAAGCATCAGCAAACCGGCGGAATCGCGAAACATTACGTGATTCTGACATGCATAAAAGGCGAATTGCTTAGCCGGTTGCTGACTTTTCCGGTGCGTTGATTTTGGGTCAATGCCAGTGCTCCATCAAACACGTTGGTAGCTTCCAGGAAGCGCCTCTTAAGTAACGAAAAATGTATAGGATACTGAAGACATTTAAGGATGTTGAACTTCGTAACAAATCAATTACACCTGCCTTTCATACGCTGTACATATATTAACATTACTGTTTCATTATTCTGAATTCTTTGCATTCGTGTCTCTCTGTCATTTTAATTAGCATCGTAATTAAACACGTCATAACTTTCGTTTCATTTCTAGAAAGCATTTCTTTCCCATCGTACGTAACTCACGTCTTACGTATTACACTTTGAACGTTCAACGCTCTGAATGAACTTGATCCTCTCTCCTTTCATCTCGCAAACTCTTGGTAACAAACTAACGAAGTTTCCGGTCTCCCGGCACTTTATTTTTCACCGGCCTGCCATTACCTGCATGCGACTAGGTGAAAAGTGAGAACGACGTCGCGTTGATCATCATTTTTCACTTATTGTGTCCCCTGGTCCCTGTTGCTGTCATTGACCCAAATTTTCTTAGAGCGTTTCAATTTTCAATGTACAAAGCTTCACAGTATATCATGCGCCCTGTCAGATAATTCTAATGAGTTCGAGCTGCGTTAATCGAATTTCGGATGCAGTCGGAGCGTGCGAAATCCATTCGGCTTCTCGGCGGTCGCGGTCTGCGAAAGCCGGGAATGTGCGGAAGAGCTCTGATAGAGCGCATCGCGAATGTCACGCATTCGGACGGGCCGCGAGAAGATTCTCGGGGAAATTGCTCTCCCGTTATCCTCTGTCTGCCTGTCTGGTCCCAGAGTGAATCATCGTCCACGGAACGTGCGCCGGTCAACTTTTTTCCTTCCATGAAAATCGAATCGCACCTTTCTTGCCTCACCGCGGCTCGCTCTCTTAACGAGGGGTCCGTTTCGACGGTGGCACGCGCGTATTTCCTTCTACGTATAATTACGTTTGTTACGCGTCCTCACTTGCAGCCGAGGCTTCAGCAATAATCGTTGACCGTTATCGTTTGTTACGCTTCAAGACGGAAAATGCATCCGTTACCCGTATATCACGAAAGTGTTGATCATGAAAACTCGAACTGTAAATGCAAAGAGAATTTCCTACAGGGGTTCACGAGATTTTTCAACTTAAAAATTCTCATTCAATCCGAGATACTATTTAACAAACGATTACTCGATTAATTAAGCAGATGCTAATAAATATTATCGTTGTCGTTGCTGGAATTATAATTATACTTTCGTATGGCCAGCGGGCTCTCGATTAACGAGTCTCCCAGCGATTTTCTTTTTGCATAATAATTACGGGAATATTTTCTGCTTTACTCGTCCGTGAAAAGAAATTAATAATACAGACTCGATTATCCGATAACTAATTTTACACAAGCAATTTTTCCGGTAATGTTAGTAAACGATCGATGATTAAAATACTAGTAATTTTAATTAATGCTTCGTGCGTTACAATTAAACGTATTGTGCGTTAACGCAGATTAGGATGTGAGAATCGTTATTTCATTGTACGGTCCATTGCGAGGCAGTTAGAAATTTGCGATGAATACGACAAGTTGCTGTTACGAAGTTTCGTCGAACAGTTAAGCCTTGGCCAGCTCTAAAGGGATTCGCCGTTGATACTCTCCTTAGCAAGTAAATACTTCTTTAATCTTCTACCTGGTGCGCCAGCCTTGTTTACGCTTCGTGGCGTATGGCATGGTTTATGGAAGCCCATAAGCGGATACAACGGTCCACTGCATAGGCATTCATATATTTAATTCATTTCTGACTTTATCTCGATGACCGCACCGTTTCGAGGCGCGCTTTATAACAGAACAGAACAGAACAGTCACGCTGAAATCTTTTGCTCTTTTTCCTTTAAGTGTGCCGTTAACATAGCTTCAGAGCATAAAACGATGCTGGGTAAAAGCTTAATTGTTTTCAAATTATACTTTATAATTTGAATACGACAAAGGTTCCAAAGACGAGGCGGGGTAAAAATGAAGTTAATAATGATCCGAGGCGAAAATTACGATTCTAATAAATCTTTATTTAGCTGTTCAGTACAACGAAATTCAACGTGTAAATACAACCAAGTGCACAATGTTCGTTNCGCAGAACTCACTAGTATTAAGTAAAAAAAGAGAACGTCATATTGCTAATCTCAAAAAAATGAAAAACAAAAAATGTATTACGTCTCATTATATTTGTATGTCGACAGTCTCTAAACAATCACTCGTTACAACATCACTAAAAATCAATGAGCATAAAATTAATAGTTAAACAAAACGAAAAATTAAATATCCTTCTTTCTTTTTATCGTTAACTAAAGGAAAATTAATGTGTTATTTGTACATCATCTTTTCGTTAACTAAATTAAGTGTTCTGTATCGTCCAACGATACATAGTTTACTCTGTTATAACAAAAATAAAAACTTAAATACAATACTGTAACGAATAACACCCACGTTTTATCACATTAGAATAACGTTATGATAAGAACGAACGGAATGATTAGAAAACTCAGTTATCGATAAGAAATGTTGTTCTTATAATTAGTTAAAAGTCACTGAATGGATGAACGGACACTGAATCCAGTTCTTAATCTTCTACAACGATTGTACTGTTGTCAGAAGATTCGGACTTTATTTTGTGCGGTGAATCGGAGGTAGTGGTGTCCGGACTTTCAGTACCTGAATCACACTTATTATTATTTTGCTTGTCGTCGTTGATCTTAGATTCAATTTTTATTACAGTTTTATCCATCGATACCCTCAACTTCGGGTTCTTATCAGGGTCGAAATGACCCTCGAGGAGGATTAGCAAATCCTCGACTTTCTTCTCTTCGATCGCGGGCAACTTTTCGTTTATTAGTTTTTCTAAACCTTCTCTCTTTCCGTTGCTCCAGGCATCCTGCGGTGCAAATAATTTGGACAGTTTAGATTGGCACTTTTAGTAAAAGTAATCAAGCCTCGGACGGTGTATATACATTTGTCAGGGATAATACATACTCGCAACTGGGCGTATTCTATCCCCGCCTCGGCAAGTAGCCGTCGTAATGGACTAGCGTGTTGACGTTCCCGACGATTTACGCGAAACAGAACTCCGAAAATAGGTTTCAAGCTATTTTGACGTTCAAAAACTATCTTTAATTCTGGAAAAACATCGACGTATTAAACGAAGAAATCTCGTTTTTCTAATAAAATTGAACGTTCGTATTATTTTATCTACCTGCGTACTCCTGTTCCTCTACCTCTACCGGTTGAACGAATTCTCTAATGAATTCGGTAGTTTTTTTCATGGCGCTATCACTGTCACCACTACCATTAGCATCGTTTCCCTTTATCACTTCCAACGAACTTAAGTGTTGTACTATTTGTAAAGCTAGGCACGCTCTGTCTTTTGCATTGTCTAACTGTTTTTCCTGGAATTACGACAAATTTGCATTCAAGACATTATAATGTTAATTATAATTACATTACAATTGTTGGATCACGCATTCTACGTTTCGTTAGTGTTTGCATACTTGATTAAGTAAAGTACGGGACAACATCCTGAGCGTGTAAGCTCGAACTATATTCGCGTATTTCACTTCGGCAACGTTGAATCCGTTTGCGAATCCTTTTACAATTTGTTTAAATCGGTCTAGGAGATTGTACTTCTTCAATGACTCAAGTAACATGGCAGGGATGACTTTACGCGGTTCGTGATAAACTAATATCACACCATCGGCTGCATCCCCTCTAATAGATTCTAGCCATGTTAAAAAATCAGCCAGAGCAGACACCTCGCTCTTAGTTTTTAATACCTGCGAAGAAGTTTACAATTCAATAAAAAGAATATTAATTTCGTAATATCACTAGAATTATTGACATACCTTATTCGTTTTATTGTCTTTAAGTGCGCGAAACTTGCCGATAGTCACGATCTTCATATTGTGCCTCTTCATGGCTGGAGGATCAAGGTCCTTGTATGGCATTACGTATTGGGAGTAAGAGGAACTCGGTGTGTATCCAGCTATTTGGCATATCTCGTCAATAACTTTCTTTCCCGTAGTATCCATGTCCCAACCGACTAAGCGATAATTGCCTGGACCAATACCCACTGCAGAAGGTTTTCTTGGTGGGCTGGTTTTCCCATTTTCCACTATTACTGAAGACACCATCTTTACGAATTTCTAATCTGTAAATAATAGAAACATTAAATATATAATAATCGTTAAGATACGTGGAACATAAAATCCCAATTCAAAATAGAAAATAAATACTTTTTAAATGTATGAATTTAATGCTGAAATAATAAAGGCACGTTAAGATTTTATTAGGTAAGAAATTCTTAGAACTCAGGTGTTTCGTAAAGTAATATTTGGAACAATCTTTGTACGTTAGGTATTTTAAAAGAGGTTTAGATGTAAAATTCCAATTGCTAATAAGGAGGAAATAATTTGTAAATGTATCACTTTTAATGCTGATAAAATAAGGAAACATGCGTTAATATTTCATTAGATAAGACGCTCTCAGAACTCGGCTGTGTTCTCAACTAATGTTTGGAATAGTTTTTGTACAAGGGCGAGATATTTTCGTACACAGGCAGAGTAGACTATGTGTACGTATCGATTAAAATCGACCTTGAAATTCTACACAGTAAACAAATACTTAAAAACAAAGGATTGATAGCCAGAGATATGTTTCTAATAATACAGATTACCCTATCGCTCGTGCTATATTTAGTAGTTCGTCAAACGAAAATTTATCTACTATTATTCTATACTAATTTTTCTTCGATAATATCCGTATAACGAAACGCGTGGCATTTGTGCGCGGAGCGATAAAGAGATATACGGGAAACAAAGAGACGTCGCGCAAATTCTTTTTAAATTAACTCACGCTAGTATCGTTAAATTTTTCAACAGCGAGTAGGAAAGTAGATTCGCGGAGAACTGCGTTACACCGTCGACGAGGTCGATAGATGACAAGCTAACAGCTGGCATGAACGCAGCTTGCGATTTTCCGTAGGTGCACCGATGGTACTGAGAAAAACTAAGCGTTGCATCAATTTTTCCGATTCCGTGACGTCCACGCAACAGGCGTCATTCGTTCGCGATCAACCGTGTCACGTATGTAAAACAGATATTCGCATCGCACGTGGGTCGCGGGTCTGGCGAACTACTCGTGCGACGCAGCCTCGGCGCAATGTAATTTCGAACAGGGAATACGGTTTTCGCTTCCGATTCAATTCTCGGCTGTTAGGATTCTCTACGATCACTCACCAACGTCGTCACGTGGCACGGAGCTCTTTAGGTTTCTTCGGTTTTCTTGCAGTACGACACACTCGATCACAGAGACTAGCTACGCGTAAATTCTTCGCGGATACTGGAAACTACTGGAGCGCAACTAGATTCATTTGAATGCACGTGTACGTTTACCACTAAACGCGCCCGCTCGACCGAACACGCGTGCGCACACAGTCCTTCGATCACGATTCTAATGTCAATCTTGCCCGAGGGAGAGGGTCTCCGGTTCTCGTGGATCACCGGTTGGACCCGTCGTCCGCATGGATATCGCCGATCAAATCGAAGCGGCTTAGCAAGTATTAGTTTCCCATATCAACAAATTAAATCTACGGTCTAAATCACTCTTTCGTTATAGATATTTTCGTGTAGGAAATATTTGATCAAAAGTTTTACGTACGTGTTGAGTCATGTAAGCCAAGATTCGCGGAACAATGATCGATTACCTTTAAAGGTGATCGAGCGTGATCGAGGAAATGTATGGCACGATTAAAACGGTACAAGTTTCATTTTACGTGATCGAAATTCGTTAGTTGTTACTTCTCGAGATCGATCGTATGGCAGAATATGATCGATCCAACGTACTCTCACGTTATTTGAAATTCGATTCACGACATCGAGAAGTTCGCCCGAGATGTAAGTGTTTTTCAGTATGAAATGAGTCGACTGAAATAACGCGTTCTAAAGATACCCGGTGTGTCATTCGCATTTTAATATGAAAGTATGTAGTACGTATGACGTTGGCCGACGAGTACGTGAAAGAAACTCGGCGCGTATCGATATCACGAACCCCGTTGAAAACTGGTTTGTAACTAAAATTCATTAGCATACGCTAAGTGATCGTCGCCTTCCTATTTACGCGGATGGGAGGAATTCGCACAAAGCACCATCCGCGTCTACCGTCATACTCTCTCTCCGCGACATTGTTGACGGTAGCGATAAATTGGCCTGCGGCTTATCTTTCGTTATCTGTTATTTATCCTTTTTCAGAGCAAGCCGCACGGTCTGCAGCGCTGATAAATTGTTCCAACTGGGTCATACGTACAACAGTGTTACGTTCGCCAGGCTCATTTTCATCGCGTATTTGATCCTACAATCTTCTCAGAGTCCTTAGAATTTACGGAATTCTTTCGCCGATATTTGGAAAATTCAACTGCAACCATTCTTATAATGAATTTCGCTCCTCCTTTCTACGTTAAACGATTAAATTCTCGTTGAGACGCGCGTTCACGATATTCATTTCCGTGTTTATATCTGAAGAATAATTGTCTGGCGGAGTAATTGCAGCCATTACATTAATATACGCGCAATACTATGCACACTAAATGAAACTATTATTTATCATCATTTGCTTCTTATAACTGGCTAATTAACCAGCAGAACGTAACCCGAGTCTTTTTGAGACGTTAATGTACGATCGCGTACAGAAGAAATATGTAAAGTGTAAACGTATACAATTTCATATAAAATGATTTCTTGCGTCCTTGCCAGATAAGTTTCTGAATATCATTCATAGCTTCCTTCGTGCATGAGCGTGAAAAAAGAGCATCGCAGCTTCTCATAAGAGCGCTAATGCAAAAAGTATGCAGAATCAGCTACAAAGGAAAAAGCTTCGCAGCGCATTTAGACGCTGGTTGGACGAGTTTTTGCGTAGATTTTATTTACAGGTATATTACAGGTACGTACGTCTGTTTTACGCAGCAGATTCAATGGATTTTCAAATTTGGATACTGCGCGGGAGATATGCATTAGCCTCGCATTCAGAATATTTTTAAACTGGGTATGCAAAAAAATGTAAATCTCTGGCTTTCAATTTTACGATCGAGTTAGCTGGCATTAATGCACACGTGCACGCGCACATCGGCAAGTGAGGAAGTCGTGTGCAATTGTATAATAGAATTTGTTTTCAAATGTGAATGAATAACGCGTCACGGGAGGCGAGTGCGTTCAATGGAAACATTAATTGAGAGTTAAAATTTAAATAAAAATGAGAAAGAGAGAGAGAGAGAGAGAGAGAGAGAGAGAGAGAGAGAGGAAATATTGTGAGTTTGATCGCACGGATTAAAACAATCGATTACAGTTTTAATTGCGTTGAAACTTTTCCACTCGAATGTCACGTTTTTATTTTTTTGCACGGTAAACGAAGAAGCGAATATTTAGATGCGTTGCAAAATAGGGAGAAACCGGGACATACCCACCATGTTTGATTCGGTTAATATTCGAGCTCGGTTTTGCTGTTTGTACGCGTTCGACAGTTTCATATTTGTTCCCTTATGAGAAACATTGACGCTATGAAACTCGAATGGGAAATTCGGTGAACATAAAAATACATCGGACGGAGGGGAAAAGGTTGGGGAAAAAGGACGTAGGAATTCGCGACGAAACGAAGTCTGTGATTTCCCGAACCGCTTCGCACGGTGTAATGAACATCGTGTCCAAATATCGCGATTGCTTTTGAAGTGGATTTCTCGACAGGGGAAACGCGAACGGCGGAGGGAGACGGACGAGAGATGAAACGAGGGAATATTGAAATGCCTTGGTAGGTTGATTAGTATTCAACCTAGCTTCGGCAAACATGATAAAATCGATCATCTCTCTGTACTCCCGGCGCGGCGCGCGGCGTTGCGTTTTCCGCCTCCGCCCGTGGGTGGACGCCGGGATATTTCATTAAACCTGAAAAAATTGTGGCAAGGGAAAAATATAATGAAACGCGACGTGTGTAATAAATTTCGAACGGAATTGAAAGAAATAATTTCCGCAAGCTCGGAAACTTTTCGTTTGAATTACAATCGTCGCGTTGAAATTACATAGCAGATAGCTTTTCGGATATATGTACCAAAATAAAGTTCATAATTCTGCTTCGCCATGACTTCTAAATTGAGTGTTTAAATAATGTTCCGCAAGTATCGTTTCACATAAAATGGGACGTCGAAATTCACCGGTGGAGGACAGAGGACAATTGGAAATGGATTTTAGATTCACACGTTCGCCTGCTCATTAATATTCAGTCTACCGTTCACAAATGTAATAATACCGTCGGTAAACATTGTACGAGAGATAAAAGGCGAAACCCGATGAACCGACGCGAAGGTTTTGAACCACGGTTCGTTTGAAAAATCTCACGAATCTAGTTTAAACTAAGGATACCCGGATTACAGCGGCAATCCGATTTGATTGATTAATTTAAAAGCAGAAATGAAAAATACGATCGAGTTTGATTCAAAACCAATAATATTTCACGAGTTATCAGAATTGTATAAAAATCCCATATAATTTTTATTCCTCATTCAATCTTCACGTATTGCGTCATAGTATTATTAGAATTTCTGAAAAATCGCAGCTCTTTATTTTAAACTCTTTCATTTATTTAAGTTATCTAGTCAATTGCTATGCGCGCGTTGTAACTAGGCGAGATCGCCATATATCTACGTATTATAATTTGCTGGTTCATTCAGACGCCCATTTCGCTTGAAACTGAATTTTAACCCCGAACAGCCACTCAATCCCTTTTGCACTTGTCATTCACACGCAACGCACGAGAAGCTCATTTATAATCCGACATTCGTGAAGTTCATTCACCCCTGCGGGCAAGGTGACTCGTGTTACACCCGTTACAAATCAACGCGTCCATACAACTGCATATATCAATTATGATTAGACCGTGAACATTTATGGGCTTGTGAGAAATTCGAATAGACACAATATCGAACAATTTGTACGTGCACGTATTCCTAATTAACGTTTCCTGCAGCGTAAAATATTTCCTCAAGAATTATTTGTATATATGTATAGGACCACATGGGTAAGAAGGAGCGACGCCATTTTTTTTCTCTAGAAAGATACGCGGTTACCTTGACTGCCCGAAGGTTTTTATCTCAAACGAACACATAATTTATTTAAAAAAAGGAGATCGTTAGCGATACGTTTGCGAATAACGAGGCGCGGCTGGATTTGCATGAAAACCGCGTTTGGAACAAAGGAAAGACTTACACAATACGGGGGAGACGATCTCGTGGGCCTAATCGCTGGCAGGCAGACGTCGCCGAATCGGCCTTCCTTACGGCAGTTCGACTGTATCACCGATCGTTAAGAGAACGATTCCTCCGCGCGGCCGGCTGCGTACGTGACTCTTTATTTCCGCGATCCTCACCGTGACACCTTCGTGGATGACGTGAAACGTAGACAAAAGATCGGTGGCTTCGCGCACAGATTCGATAGTCTATTGTCCTCCCTTCGTTTCCGGCTCCCTAGCATTATCCTTATCTCCTTTCCGCGTGTTTATTTCCGTCTCCTTCGCACGCCTCCCCTTTGCGTTTCGTTTTTGTTCGCCGCGCTTTCTTCTTTCGCCACTCGACGCGAGCGTCGTCACCGTGTCACCGCGCCGTACCGGAACGCTCGGATCGCCGCCGCGCTCACGTTTCGGTACACGGCCACGCTTTCGCTGATAACGACGCATCGCCCCGTCATCGTCAGATACCGTGAGATTTGCACGTATCCGCAACGTGTCTGATATACGACCGATTTGCCAACGAATAGGCGATAAGGTTGCATTCGATCATGAGTTTGCGTGTCCCGCGCTTCTTGACGCGCCGCGTCGGGACATTCCCGGATTTCCTCATAGTTTCCTTTCAAACGTTCGAGGGCACACGATAGCCGAGATAATGCAGTTAACTATTAAAGATAATCAGTTTCTTTTTTCATCGACGGAAATCAATAATTCCTTGGGATAAGGATTACGATAGATCTTGTGAACAAATCGATAACGATGACCGTGTTAAAAGATTTTACGTACTATCTTTTAGTTTCAAGGAAACAGTTTTTGAACACTCACGTGCATTTAAACGATTGTGATAATCTTTTTATTCGTAACAATGGGATTATAATAATTACCTGGACATGAATGCTCCATGAAATATGTGCGGAAATATAGATTGAATAGAAATAACGAATTTATATTCACAAATCCACAATATTACAAAAATTCGAATTCACGAAACCAGTCCGGACGAAACCTGAAACCATCGCAAACGCACGTCAAAACGCCTTGAAACAGAGTGACCAGTCGATACGTCTGGAAAAACGGTTATGCCTCGGACCCAAGTCCTAGCTTCGAGGAGAAGGGCCTGTTTTATGATACTCCCACATGTTTTACACGTTGTCACAGCTCCTTTTTTGGAGTTTTTCTAGTTTTCCTATAGACGTTACATTATTTTATTCTTTATTTCATAATTGTTTTGCGTGCACGAAGATAAATAGAACTATTAAAGGAAATTTTTGTTTGTTTTCTGGTATACCAGGTATTTAAAAATTTTGTGTTAGTAGCTGGAATACGTCATATTGATGTTTCTAATATGAACTTGGTCG